ATTTTATAATATACATTATAACATCAGTATTTAGCGCAGCGGGTACGGCTTAAACATTTTTCTGTTAATAACAAAAGCTCCACCAAAAGTTTTTCTGCAAAGCTTTAATAAAATGGGATATTTTAACAGAAGCTTTTTTAATCTTTTAAAATAAACTTTTATCTGCATTTTTATAGAATTTTTTTGCTATAAATTAGAGTAACATTTATTTGAAGTTCTTATTTTTATAATAACTCAAAAGCTTTTTCTTCAGTTATAACTGATTTTTTTTTTGAAATAGTATAATTGCTATGAAGAATTTTTTTAAATAAAACTTTGTAAAGAGATGAAATTTAGTTAATTAGATTTAGTTAATTTAATTATTTATTGTACAGAGTTGTGGTTACATGTAGGATGTTTAATGGGTCACCATGAACTGCGTTATTACCTTAACAAAATGGCTCTGCCCGAAGAGATGGATTGTCGAATCCGCTTAGAAGCAGACGAGCCTTTCAGTCACATTCTCTGTGACTGCCCAGCTTTGATCTGGGCCAGGAGAAATACACTGGGTCGAGAACAACTTTCCCCTTCTGACATTAGGAGGTCCTCAACGGCCGACTTTCTGGCCTTCATTTGGAAAGCGGAATATCTTCAGTTAGATTAGCGTCTGTTACAGCACAAAAGATCAATCATGATCGCAAGGTTTCTTTCCGTTGGGAGCTAGTACCCCATTTATTCTTATCCTATATTGTAAATATATATTGTAAATATTTTTTTTTAATAACTAAATTTTTTAATAATAATATCAATTCATAAATAAGAGGCTTCAGTGAAAGTAAACATATCATTATTTTAGTATATTTACATTTATTTTACTGGTGATTTCAATAATATTTGAAAATATTATTTTCACTTCAAAATATATTCGCCTATAAAATATGAGATAAAGCACATATTTCGTTTTTGTCTGTTAACTGCGCTGTTCTTAACATTTCGCTTCGTACTGTTAATAATACATTGGACATTGGATGTTAAACAGAAAACTGTTTAAATGCAGAAATTGCTTTATTGTAAAAAAAAAAGGTTTAGAAATGATTATTATATGTAACGGGTAAATAATTTAATTTTTAATTTAAATTCAGTTAATAGTTATGAAAGAAGCTCACTGGAAAAATTTTTATAAATTTTTGAAAATTATGATTCAAATTTTTATTTTTATCGCAATAAACCTATTAACATATTAAGCATAATATAGTTAATTTGCTTTCCATTGTTTATAATTACGAATAGATTAACATTAATTGGTAAAACTACGGATAATAATTGCTAATAAAAAAATATTAATTCTCAATAGGAAAATAAATAAATAATATATTTATTTTGCTTAAACGCAAATCGGTTAAGATTTTTTTTTTATTTATTTACTTATTTATGTGCGGAAATAATTTAATCTCATAAATTGTTTATTTTTTTATTAGTTTAATTTTTTCATATATTTCCAAATGAAATTATTAAAAAAATTCTTATAAAAAGTGGCATTTTTCATAATTTTTTATTGTATGCCAACCACAGAAATAAAGTATAAATTTTGTATTGTTGAATAGGAATTACTATAATAAAATACATATATATATAACTTTAAATGGTAAAATGCTTTTAAAATAAGTGAATATAAGTGAATTAATGGCATTAAAAAGCCAAACAATTAAAATTTAGAAAAATCCGTTGCTGTAAAAGTTTCATTTGTAGTAGGAATAGGAATAAACGGGGTACTAGCTCCCGACGGAGCAGAGCCCTGCGACCAGATTGATCTTTTGTGCTGCTTCATCTGAAGTAGCGTTTAACCTTTTTAATCATTGAATAAAAGTAACAGATGCAGTTAATAATGAAGGAATTGGAATATCAGCTTCATGAAATCACAATTACTATATTAATTAAATGAAGTAATATAAATAAAAAATTATTAAAAAGTCTTCTGAAAAAGAATAGCGGTAGTTGGTTTTGCTTTAAGATAAGATAATATAGAAAAAGATCCTAAATCCCATAAATAAACAGACTGAGGAAATGAGTAGGAATTACTCATGGTAAAGAAAATCAATAAATGTTAAAAGTAATGAAAAGGAAGACAAACCAGGTGAGAAAGTTTAAGATTAGGTTCCAACTCCGTTCGGTTAGGTTAGGTTATGCTGGCAGACCAAAAAGGCCACGCGTAGACCATTAGGGTATTTCGGAAATATTAACACAATATATTTAAATCTTTCTCTAAAATAAGGAAAACATGTCATAACGTTAAGAAAGGTAATACCTATGTGAAAAGATGATGTAGTAGTCATAAAATAATTTGAGCTATATACAGTTAGAGAGTAAGATGAGAACTTTTTTTTATAAACGATCTCTATTACTTATTGCTTTAATTATCAAAGTTTTTGAATAAATAATATCAAATAAAAAATAATGATGATATCTTGCTTCAAAAAATTAGTAAATGTAAATCTTTAAGATGATTTTTGGTTTTGGCAGGATGGGCTACTAAGTAGTTATCAAAAGAAGAGCTTAAAAAACAAAAGCGCAGATGTGGCCTGGTCACTAATATCATCTGATCTGATGCTACTATAAAACAAGGCACGAAGTAAATCCAACTGAATGGCCGCATGTTTTTCAGAAAAACCAGTTATGTCGCAAATGTTCCACTTAAACAACGTAGAACGGTCAATTCTGAGTGGTACACAACCATGAAGTCTTCGTAGAATTAAAGAAAACCAACCATCGAAGGGAAATCATCCTTTACCACGACAATACAAGCTTCCACAAAGAGCTTAGCTCTTTTGTTAGAGCTAAAGAAATTAGCTCTGACAAAAGAAATTTTGAGCACTTAAAACGTCGAATACATTTTAAACCCCCCAGCCATCATAGCGTAACAGTGCCTAGATGCACTAACTCGGAAAAGGCTCAACATAAGACTTTTATATCAAGTTAAAACCCCATAGACTTGTATAACTTTTTTTAAAACGGTCAAATGTGGTATGTTTAATTAACCTTACTCTAATGCACAAACTTCATATTGAGTGTATGAAATTGCAATTAAATTTTTGAACCAGCTTTGAAGTCTGTTGCCATAAACGACGGCATCAATAAAACATAAATAATAGTTGTATAAGTAAATGATTCAGACCGCCTGCACGCCCACAAAGTCGCCAGCATTTGAGCAGCGTTCACATTTACAAAGGCCACAGGAAAGTGCTGCATTGCAGCACAATTTGCATTGCAGCAGCTAATAATGACCGGGTTTGCAGGCCTTTCTCTTAATTTTCTGTTAGTAAATTACTGCCTGAAGGTATTGCAATGCTTGAATGACGAGAGAGGAGGATCAGTAAAATGGACCCCAGTTTTGCGTGCTCAAGGTTTTACTATACTTATAATGGTTCAGTCAAGAGTCAATAAAATATTTAATCTCATAATTTAATTGATTTGCAAATTAAGCCGCTTTTGTCCTTTCGACTAAACAGCACAGCTTAGTACGACACAACAAGAGCATTGTTGGGATTACGTCCTTGCATATCCTTTGGCTATTTGTAATAAAAGATTAAATATTTTGTTTGTACGTTGCCTGCACTATTTTGTGATTTCATGATGAAGCAAAAGTGAACTTTAATTTGCTATAGTCGAAAGTATCCAACCCAAACAGAAAGTATCCAACATTTTTGAAGGAAAACTGTATAAAGCAAAGTAGAGACAAGGAAAAACTTGTTTGATAGAAAATTTATGAAAAGAATTTGTACGGATTAAATTTAAGAATGTTAAAGCTTGGAATTAAATTTAAGTAACAATTTTTTATATGTACTGTACACATATTAGCTCAATTTTGTGTATTTCATTTAAATCGGTGCTTAATTAAATTTTCATAATTATATTGATAATGTTTAATGTATTATGTGGATGGGTGCTTCTTATGAAGTAGGTATTTAGCTTGTCAGAGTGGAGTGTATATAAGGGGATGAATAATACGTAATAGTGAACGAAGGATATAATATAATAGGATATGAGAATAATTATAAGAGAAATATATATAAGAGATATATATGATACAAAAAATCTATCATACGATGATAGAAAAGAAATATATAAAAACGTTGAAAAATCTGTGAATACATTTTTTGATTGCTATGGAAATATATTATGTAGAATTTTATTATCATGTAAATTATAATATTATAATAATAATTAGATTATAATAATTATATTATACAACCATTATATGAATATAGTCAAATTAGCAGTAAGAAAAACCTTCTTTTAAAGAATGGTTTCCTGAGCTCTGCAATTAGTGATGAAAAATAACTCGGCAATTAGTAATGAAGAACTTAACAAACTAGTTTGCTTTCTCAGTAAAATAAGAAGCTAATAAGTTTATAGATGCACTATAAAGAACTACGATGACCCAATTTTTCCTGCAATTAATTACAATCTAACCTAAGCCCGGTTAACTTAAGGCTGTTGAGATGAAAACTTTATCATGTTTATAAATCTGTATTCCTGGTTTTCGGCACGCTGGACTAATAACTTAGGTCAAAAATTACTGGGATTCTAAATAATCTTGTCAAATTCATTAGCACTTG